TAGTGGTAAAGTAGGAGGGCACAGACTCTTCAAATGGTGCAAAGGGATTTGTAATTGTGACAACTGACACAAAGGACAATCCCACTGTCTTTCTTTTTATGGTTTTGCCTTTCTATTACTATATATATACTATCAGGTTATTTAATTTACTGGTAGAAAAAAATAACATATAGTATTAATTTTGTGTATTACTGTTATTATATACCTAGTTTATACATTTTTTTTTAATATATGCGTAACTAATGCAACCATAATTAAAGTATTTCCTAAAACGAATACTACATGGAAGTTGGTACTAATAAGCAAAAGGTTTATGGCATGCATTAGCCTAATTAAAGAGAGAATTATCTCATAAGAAAAATTTCTATGTTCTTCTTATTATATTTACGGAGGATATTTTTGTACGCAAATTTTAATTTTTTTTATATAATATATCTTAATTTTAGTATACCAAATTAAATAATGAAAAAAACTAATGTTAGCTTCATAATACTAATTAAATCAAGTAATGCATAAGAAATAATTTATATATAACTAATATCAATATTACTAATATATTATGTTCAAGACCCTCCCAAATAACCCTACATACATGTGAATTTTGTAACTCGAAAAAGAAATGCTCGAGATCAATATTAAGTACCTATTCTTTGTCTCAATATAAGTGTCTTAATTAATTTCCAATTTTGTTTGTCCTAAAAAAAAGTTTTTTTGTTTATATATAAAATATTTACCCTCCTCCTCCTCTTGGTTCTTGTCCCATATGACTGATGCTCTGTAGTTTTTCTTTGTTGTAAACTTAGAAAAAGAAATCTCATTATGAATACCAATTAGTATTTCAGGTAAAGTTATGAGATTTTTGAATTTTGAAGGAAGCATATGGATATTTTGTAAAGAAAACAAGATATATATGTAGCTACAATATTCCTCATATATAATACCAACTAAAGTTTTGAATCAGAATAAACTCTTTTAACACAGAGAAGCCTGAAGAAAAAAGCACATCAATTCAAACTATTCATAGAATGCCTCAGATATAATAAAGCTTTGACATCAGATGATAATATAGAATACAACCTAAGATAAAGTAATTGTGACTTTCCTGTTTAATATCTGTCTCAGCACCAAATGTACTTGCCATATAATAAAAACTAGTGAAATTAAAGCGTTTCTAAACATGCTCGTCTGAAGGATGGAACAAAAACTGATGGATATTCAGAAAGAACATGTAATCTATCGGTCATGACGTACGTACATTGCTAAACCAAAGGAGAAAAGAGTGACCTTTTTATGCCTAAGCAAGTGGAACTAAGCTCATTGTATATGGAACAACAGTAGCAGAAAAGAAAGGCTTTGGTGCAAGAGCAGAAAGGCTGCAGAGGTGTCGCATCTTCATTGTATCAAACTGATACAAATAGATATCAGCTGCAACCCTCATAAGCAAGATGTTGTTCTTGAAAGCTAGAGTCCCTATCCAAGGATACGCGGAATTATAGTCTCTTGCCAACTTTTCAGCTATCTTGAACAGATACTTGTCGTTTTCTTTTTCCAGCAATTCCAAAGAGATGGTAAAAGTAAGATCCCATTGAGAAGTAAAATGATCCTTCAGCACCCACAGTTGAAGTCCGTGTTCGGATATCAACGCGTAATGTAGCTTCCCTTCAGCTTCTCCTATGCACATCTCGGGTGTTAGATTGAACTGGGTGGTGGGGAGTGGTACCATTATCAACCAAGATATCTCATTTTCTGGATCAAACATAAGGATTTCGTCTCCATCAGTAAGCCAACACAGAATCCCAGTTACACAGATGCATCCCTTTTTCTGCATGTTGTGATTGCAAAGACAAATCTCTCTGGATATTCTCCATTCTCCTGTTTCTGATGAATAAATGTTAAATGAGAAACATCCATCTCCTTCTGTGCTAGTTTCATCTTGGCTAACTATCACAACCTTAAACTTTGTGAATGCATCAATCGGATTCTTGAATGGATCAAAAACCAAGGTTATGCAGCTTTCTCTGGAAGGATTTGGCCACTGAAGTTCTTTCCACTCCTTATTCAGCAGGTTACAGACGTAGATTACAGGAACATCACAAGGAAAGCTACTTCGACAACAGATTAGTCCATAACTTGAGTCCTGGATAACAATACGTTCTGGGAGGAAATCCAGAACATCAATATAGATATCCGTGGTAACTCTTTCTATAGGTATGAAGCTGATCCAGTCATAATTTTCATCACACCACTGGTACCTACCCTGATAGAAGAAACCCGTGAGAGGTTCCATCTTTTTCAACTGCCCTTGAATGAAACTGCGGTCAGACATAAGACATTGCCATCCCTTTGAGACACACTTCAATTTCAGCAAATCCTTAGTAGACAATGGTAGTACTTCATATAGCATGTCACTGCTTGGAAACCAAATTTCCTTCATTTTCACAACCCTGACATAATTCAATTCTGTCAGCTAAAAAATAGTTGGGATAATTCAAACTAGAGGAAAACGCAAAATCTCGGATGACAAAATTTTAGATAAGTACAATAATCAGGGATGCAAACAGCTCCTTCTACATAATTACTGGATTAATTAACAAGTGCAACAACTATCAGAGAAATGATCCACATTGAAAGATACAAAATCAGCAAGAAATCCACAACATTTTCAGATATATGGGTAACAAATAATTTCAGTTGCCAATAGAACCACTCACAAGCTATAGTATAAGCAGAATACCTGACAAACTCGTATTCATCATAAAACATCATAAAAAGTGAATTGGGATACCACTCCATAGTATAGTTCTTCATCCATTGAGTACCTGTTAACAATTTTACATATATGGAAGTCCTTTTTCGCGGTGGGGGTGAAGTTTTCACCCTTTTCAAGAAACAGAAATAACAATAGGATATCTACTATGTTTACACATTGCTGACAAACCCCTACGCTCCCAGTAACCCCATTGCTCCCAAACAGAACTGCTTCTTTTTCTTACTTTCAACCAAAGATCAATACATAGCTCTGGAAAAACTTCATGAAGAATGTATTGTATTGAAAAATGAAAAAAAAAACTTATTCACCTATTACATGTGATCCTATTTATATATAGATACAAACTAAGTGCTAGTTAACAAACTGTATGTAAAAAATGTCTTTTCTATAATTAACTCTAACAAACAAACGAACGTTGTTAACTAACTTTGTGACTAACTGACCATTAACTAAGAGTAATAACTAAATTATATTCTCATCATAGTTAATTAAATGCACATTCCTTTCCATTTTTTTTTAAAAGAGAGTTTTGTGTCACAAAATAAAAGACAAACATTGCAATGAATATATAAGGGGAAGATGTAATATTCAAAATCAAAAGGAAAACATATGTTATAAAGTGAAACTTCAAGGAATGTTTTATAAAATTATCCTAAGAATAAACAGGTAATTAAGTTGACTGCAAATATACAAATTCTTATTGTAAATTGTTTTCAATAGTACAAGAATAAATTTGATCCAGCAAACAAAAGAATCACGTCGCCTTCGATCTTCATGAATATAAGATGCAAAAATAAGAGAAATGAGAAAAAACTCACATGAAAATTGAACAATAACAATTAACAAACCATTGACAATCAAACTACCAGAGAGTTAAATGTGAATCCACAATAGCAACAACTTAACAAGCAAAAACTTAGATGAATTTATAACTCAAAATGACTTACAACAAGTTGTATCAATACTGAAAACAGTAACAAATAGACTTTAATAGAATGATAAATCCTATTTACCATCCTTAAAGAATCATCATCATCAACTCATTTAGAAACGGTTGCGTTTTCGGCCTCTAATTGATTTTTTGAAAGGAATGAATTTTTTCTCTGCTTCCCGTAAGTGCAACTCTATACCACCATAACTAATTACAATTTTTTCAAGGCATTCTAGCCATTCTCCTCCTAAAATCATGTCATGTTTCGACGGCAATGGAACTAAGTACACTTTCAAATTAAACAAAATCCCTTCCATTGACAATTGAAAGTTGTTGCATAGTTGGAAGTCACCATTTCTCCCAAATCCGAGCGAACAGTTTGAGGCTGGATTGGAACTGTCTCACAACCTAACTTATCAGCTAATGATTCATTGATGAAATTGTGTGTAGTCTCTTTTTCCCCATTAGCACAGCCAAGGGCATCTCCTTATGATAACCAGTCACACAAAATTCACAGCTCACTGCTAATTCCATGTTCATCTCGGTTTCCTCTGTGGAAACAACATCTACAATTGAAGAGTTATTATTGTCTTTCGCAATCATGTCTTCCTCGGTAGCAACATCATCCACAATCGAAATGCGAACATTGTTATGTTCAATCACGTCTATTGTTGCTTTCTCTGTGGGAACATAACCTACAATTGGTGCATCAGCACTAGCATCTTCAGTCAGTGAAATAACATCCTTCTTTTTATTGCGTTTGCGACTATAAGTAGCGAGTGTGGGTTCTCTGCGCTGTTTAACTTGCTCCAGCTTAAATAAATAAGCAAAAATTAAATAAAACTTCAAAATCATCAACAACAATTTTTAATTTGGGAAACCAACTCTAGAAAAGTAAAATCAATTGTACCTGATGCATTGATGAGTTTTCATGGCTATTAGAGGAAGGATTCATGGCAGCTTCGATAATTTTTTCTCCTTTATCATGATCCCTAGAAAATTTAATGCATTTTTTCAACTCTAAAATTTGTTCATCAAATTTATCCAACCTGACATTCAATTCTCCAAACATTCTTTCTTCAATTTTTTCCAGCCTGACATTCAATTCTCCAAACATTCTCTCTTCAAATTTTTCCAGCCAGACATTCAATTCTCCATACATTCTCTCTTCAATTTTTTCCTGCCTGATAGTTAATTCTCGAAACCTCCTCTCTATTAGAGCACGTATTTCCCCATCTCTGTTGCAACAGTATCAACGATTTTCTTGTTTTCATTAATCATCTTGAAGAAGTAGAAGAAGAAGAAGATTCAACACAGAGAAGAAGGATTTTTTGATCAAGTCTATTTATAGTACTTGCTCTCCCGCCTCAACTACCTTCTTATGACCTTTCTTTAGAAAAAAATTAAATGAAAATACATTTTAGTAAAAAATGATATTACTATTCCTATTAAGTACTAAAAGTTAGTAGTTTGACTAGATACAAAGAATAAAGAAGATTTCAATATTTTTTAATCCTAGTCAAAGTTACATTAATGTATTAAAATATCATGCCATCTATGACATATGAAAAGTTGAATTTAAAGTTTTATTAAAAAAATATTTTTTTAAAAAAAACAAAATAAAAAGAAAAGAAAAAAAGAAAGAATATTAAATCTCATTAAATTAATACTTTGTGAATTAATAATTTTTATAAACATATTATATGGAAATTTGAAACTAAAGTTTTTCCAAAAAAGAAAAATCTTTTTTTTTAAAAACAAACTAAAAAAAAAGTAGTAAAATTTCATTAAATTAATACTTAATGAATTAATAATTTTTCCAAGATAATATTTTTCTTCTGTCCCACTTACGTCAATGTAAAAAAACACCAATTTTGATAAATGTATCAAAAATATCATGCAATCTATAGCTTTAAACATATAATATGAAAAGTTGAAATTAAAGTTTTACCAAAATAAATAAATAAATAAATTTTTGTTATATTAAATCTATCAAAATATCATGTGAACTATGTCTTCAAACATTTCATATGAAAAGTTAGAATTATAGTTATACCAAATTTTTTTTAAAAGAAAGACTAAATTAAAAAAATATAATAAAGCCTCATTAAATTAATACTTCGTGAATTTCTAATCTTTCCAAGGCAATATTTTCCTTCTGTCCCACTCGGGTCAATGTAAGAAATAACCAATTTCGATAAGATAATACTTTTTTAAGAATATCCCTATATAAATATATGATATCAATAATATTACGTATAAATTAATAATTCTTTAAAAATATAAATATATCTAAGACAATTTTGTAAAATATGATTCTATTGTTTTTTGTTAAAATTGAAATCTAGTTGAACATCATCTAAATTTTTCTATTGCATCCAAAAGTTTCGTTTTACAACTGCAAATCTTTTTGAGTGCATGTGGAATGATCTCTTTTGTATTCACATAATGTTTTGACAGCGTTTAAATGAGGAGCCATTTTTTAATATGGTTTCAAGAATTTTTCTATGTTGCTTATATAGTTTATTCTTTTGACATAATACATTGAATGTTTTTTTTAAAAAGATATCATGAATAATATTTGATGATTAAGAAACAATGAGCACATATAATGAATTTATTTTTACGATGAATCATTGAGTTTATTTTATCATGAATCATTTAACCAAAAATATATTACAATGAATCATACACATGCATTATAAATGTATAACAAATATATTTTTATATGAATTTAATAAATATGATAAATAATTTAGTAAGATATAACAATTTTGATGTATCCATTATATGTATAATAAATTTATTTCTATGTGAATTCAATAAATATGATGCATAAATTAGTAAGATACAATGATTTCGATGTAATTAAAATTAACTTTCATTGAATTTCAAAACACATTTTAAATTAATAAATATTAGTTTATTAACTAAATAGTACTTTTTATAAAATAATAATAATTTAGTAAAATTTTAGTATAGATATTTTTTTTAAAACAAAGAGAGTATCTCTTGATGAAAATGCTTATAATATGTTCTTCAGATGTATATAACGTACAAATATGTTTATTTAAACTTCTTTTCTGTTTGGAAATACGCGGCTAAGCAAATTTATACTATTTAATTACTTATCATAGCTATAGTTTGCTATAATTACCACTAGCGACTAACATTATACATTAATTATGTGGGTTGACTTCGAATTTGTATAATTAGTCATGTTTGTATATGTATAATTCGCTAGGATATACAAATAAATATGTATAATATATAATTTTTTAACCTATATACATATACAATTCACCTCTCTCCCACTCTCTTTCCTCTATCTCTCTCGCTTCTCTCCTCCCTCTCTCAATCTCGCTTGCCTCTCTCCTCCCTCTCTATCTCACTTGCCATTTATACAAATATATATTATAATATACAGTTATATACAATTATATACATATATAATTCACCTTTATCGCTCACCTCTGTCCTTCCTCTCTCGATATTGCTCGCCTCTCTCCTCTCTCTACCAGTCTCGCTCGCCTCTCTCCTCCCTCTACCAATCTCTCTTGCCATATATACAAATGCATATGTATAATATATAATTATCTTGACCAATATACATATAAAATTCACCTTTCTCCACTCTTTCCCCCCTCTCTGTCGCTTCTCTCCTGTCTCTCCTATTCTCGCTCGCCTCTCTCCTCCCAATCTCAATCTCTCTTGCCATATATACAAATACACATGTATAATATCTAATTATCTGACCAATATACATATACAATTTACCTTTCTCCACTCTTTTCCCCCTCTCTGTCGCTTCTCTCCTCTCTCTCCTATTCTCGCTCGCCTCTCTCCTCCATATAACATGTAACTATAAATTGTAATTATAAAACTATAGCTATGGAGAATAATTAATTATTTTTAAGTGCTATATGTGAAAGTTGCCTTTAAATAAACCTTTTTTTTTATGTACAACCACTCTCAAAATCACACTTGAGCTCAAAATCCTATTCCCCCCCCCCCCCCCTCTATTTTGAATTTTTGATTGACAATTTCTGATATAAAATTATAATTTGTAGTTTTTATATAATTTTAAATATTTAATTTAAATTCGAATTTTTATAATTTATTTTAATTTTTAAAAAACAATTAAATTAATATTTTTAAAAAAACAATTAAATTAAATCCCACGCCCATGCACGATACAAACACATTTAGTCTTCCAGAATCTCACATTATTTTATATAATGTTTTACAATATTATCATTTTAAAAATTTTATGAGAAATTATTTGTTTTTATAAAAATGACCATTTGAATTATATCACATAGTAGTTTTATTTATTTAAAAAAACACATTCAAATAATCAGATATTATTTGCAAAATTTATAGCTTAACACAAGTTCAACTTCAAAAAAATTAAATAAAGTGATTTTTTTTGTAATAGTATGTGGTAGTTCTTATATGAGATCTAATCTATAGCATTATACAACTATCTATTTTGATATAGTATTTTTCTAGTGCAATTTGATTGTATGTCTCGATTAAATTAGTCAACTAACTATTAGAAATTTGAGGAATATAAATCATATTTAGAAAAATATAATTATATATATAAATATATCAACACACGCGTCCTACGGAGGATAAGACTCGTAAGAGCCACATAAAATTTCGCATAGGACGTGAATTATATTCTCACGTAGGACATTAAGTAGGAAGCAAGTTCAACTTGTTCAATTCTAGACAAGTTTATGTGTCTACTTATGGGCATATAAAAATGAAGGACACAAATATGAAATGAAACTAAATTAAATGACATATTTATATATTGTGCCTTTAGAAAAAATATATATAAATCCTAAATATTTTTTGCATAATAATTAACCAAACACGACTTCAATTATAATTTTTTAAATAAAATAATCAGTATTTATTTATGACCAAACCACACTAAAAAAAGGAAATGATTAAAAGCCCTTAAACCTGAATTTTTGGTATGGAAAAATCTCATTAAAATTATATACATTCAAAATAAAAAAGAGTTTATTAAAAATGTACAAGCTTGAATGTGCTTTTGAAGTAAATCAATAAATGGGTCCATGTAAGTTTGCAACGTACGCTTAAACTAAGCTTAAAACTTTTTTAGTTGATAAAATTGTCATTGGTTGTTTTCCTCTTCACCTTTCTATATAATAGAATTATTTTTTTTTAAAAAAATTACATTATAAAGGCTATTAAAATCCAGTGAGAAAGATTCACAAAAAAGAAAGAAAGCGATGACCAATAATATAGGTCACTTCGGCTAAAAAAAGATGATTATTTTTGGCGCATAATACAACCTCATACATCATTATTATGTTCCTCAAGTTTCTTAATTATTAATATCACAATTTATATATTATAGAGTAACATATATGAATACATTATTATAATTTTGGATATTTAGATTTTATGTATTTCTAATTTTTATTTAGAATTTAATGCACTTTCGAATAGTGAAATAAAAAAAGGCCACATTTACTTTAAAATTATGTGTTTATATATGTTGGTAGCTTTAAATCCAAAGTCAAAATCAATGTATGCATTTTATCTTCTTTCTTTTAAGAAAAATAAATTGTATTGATGTGATTTATGTTTTATAAATCTAGATGCATTTATTCTATCGATATTTCAATTTAAACAATAATCATGTATTTTTATCATATCAAGTCAATGTATCAAAAAAAAATGATCCGATTGTTTATATTTTATATTGACAAATGTTGAAACTGCATACCGTAGAATCTCTAGGTTAAACAAATAACATTCAAATAGAAAAAGCAAATAGGTAATTTAAAGTCAATCTATTTAACATTTAATCATTACAATTAGATGGATCCAAGAAACCAAAAATGTGACTTAATTGGATCAGATCAAAAGTATTTCTTGATTTATTTTATATCGTAAATATTCAAATAAATATCTAACAAAATAGAATCATATCTATTAAGAAGATAGACTATTCTCTATAATATCAATATGATTACTTATAACAAGTCACACCAGGGAGATTTACGTTATGGAAAAGCGTGTTACGTGATAACGATTTTTCGTGAATTTTTTTTATTAAATTCGTATATATAATCTAAAGGTAATTACAACTAAACGTATAAAAAAGTAAAGTGACATTGCTTGTTATACTGATGTTGTGGCTTAGGTGGTTTCGATTCCTCTATTTTGAATTTGAGGTGCTGTGTTCAATACTCAGGAACCTTATTTACTTTATTTTATTATTTCACGTGAATTTTCACAAAATTTTAACCAGTTTTAACACCAAAGCGACAAGATTAAAATTTTACATTAACGTTAATTAGTTGTTTAAGTTTGATTTTGAATTAGATAATGATATTTTTTTAGTGAT